TTCTTTTTTATGAAGCCCACCAGAATTTAATTCTGAGTCATGAAAAGCACGTTCCCTGGGCCTATTGGCTTGGTGGGGGTGCACATTTCTAACTTTTGTAGGCTTCCTTGATGACAGGTATTCTGTTCTTTCATGAAGATTCCTTTACTGAAAATCTCTGTGCTCAGTGCAGAGGAACGTTCCAGTGGGGAGAAAGGAGGTGGGTGCCCTAGGGCCCGCTGGCCCATCTATAAGATGCTATCACTTTTTGGCCAATGACAAACATTTGCAAAACAAATACCTATTTCCTTATTTGGAACAAAATTTCCTCTGAGTCAAGATAACTGGACTATATAGAAATCGAGTCTATGTGGGTGACTACGTAAGCACAATGCTGTCACCAAGGCAAAGTGGTCTCCCCGATCAGAGCAAGCAGCCCAGCCCAGGGATGTGCAAAGGGACCCTGGAGGCTATGAGAAATCCTGGCTTTTTTTTTTTTTACTTACTTGTAGATGGACACAATACCTTTATTTTATTTATTTATTTTTATGTGGTGCTGAGGATCGAACCCAGTGCTTCACATGTGCAAGATGAGCACTTTACCACTGAGCCCCAACCCCAGCCCTGTTTTTTTTAATCAAAAATTCATATGCTATCCAGTTATAATTAAATTAACATTCACCCAAAAGAAGTTTTGTCCAACCACAGAATGAGAGAAAATATTTGCCAACCATATGTCTAGTAAGGGTCTAGTATCCAAAATATGTAAAGAATTGTTATGACTCAAAACGAGAGGGCAAATACCTGTTAGAAAATGGACAAAGGATTATAATACACATTATACCAAAAAAGATGCCCAAATGACCTAGAAGCCCATGAAAGATGCTCAACATCATGCGTTATTAGGGAAATACAAATCAAAACCTCAGTGGGATACCAAGTCGTACCCACAAGGACAGCTATTACCAGAAATGCAGGTGATGAAAGTCTTATTAAGGATAAGGAAAGCTGGAAATTTCCTACAGTGCTGGTGGGAATGTCAAGAGGGGCAGCTGCCTTGGTGAACAGTTTGGCAGTTCCTTGATTAAACAGTTTCCATGTGATCAGGCAATCCCACTGGAAAGTACATTACCAAAGGAAGTGAAGACATGTGTCCACACAAAAACTTGCATATAAATGATCCTGGGAGTATTGTTTATAAGAGCTAAAAATATGGATAAGTAAAATCTGGTATATCCACACAATGGAATATTACTCAACACCTTTGCTTTTATGGGGGAAAGGAGGCTCAGACAGGAGGATTACAAGGTCAAGGCCAGGCTCGGCAACTTAGTGAGGCCCTAAGCAACTTAGACTCTGTCTCAAAATAAAAAGTAAATAAGGACTGAAGATGAAGCTCAGATGTTAAGCGCCCCTGGGTTCAATCCCTGGTACCAAAACAAAATGAATAGAAACGAATGAAGCACTGACACATGATACGGCACAGATGCAGCCTGACAACTGCCAAGTGAAAGAGCCCAACACAGAGACCACATATTGTATGTCTCCAGTTACATGAAATGCCCAGCACAGAGAAGCCCACAGAAATAGAAAGTAGATCAGTGATTGACAGGGAATGGGAGAAGGGAGAAATGGAAGCCACTGCTAATAATACATTATTATTATAATATGTATGATATACAATATCACATATCCTCATAAAATATGTCTTAATCAGTCCCATGACAAGGTAAAAAGAAATGACAAAGGCAATAAAAAATCAAAAATAAGTCATTAAATCTTTTACTTTGAGCCTGTATTATATCTCAGATATTATCAATTGTATGTTTAAAATAATGTGATCATCAATATAGAATTTTACAGATTTTCATTAAACTTGATGATAAATGTTTAGCTGTTTTGTAATTCCTTCTTTAGTAGAAAAGTCCAAGAAGAAACATAACACAGGGAAAACACCACAGTAAGACTGGTTAAAACTAACAAACGGGAAACAATGTGGCAACAAACTGAAATGTGTGCTTTCACAGACTGCCCCCTAGAAAAAACGTGGCTGGAGAGTTGAAAATTATGTGGCTGGAGAGTTGAAAATTATAGGGCTGAAGCTAGGTCTGCTAGCCGATCTGATGAAAGTGCAGATGTTTCTAATGGGTTTCAGCTTGTGGTATTGGCAAGATTCTGCTTCAGATAATGAAGTTCATCAGCAGGAGTTACTTTTTGTGAGCCAGCCAAAGAAGGATGTGTCAGAGAAGTCAGCCTCAACCAAAAATTACTTCTTTAAAAAAGAAAGAAAAAACTCTCTCTCTCTCTCTAATATATATATATGTGTGTGTGTGTGTGTGTATATATATATATATCTCCCCTAACCATTATTGGAGTGGCTTCCTTGGTGACTTTTTTTTGTGCTGGGGATTGAACCCAGGGCCTCACACATGCTGGACAGATGCTCTTCCACTGAGCTACATTCCCAGTCATTTTTAAAATTTTTGAAACAAGATCTTGGTAAACTGCTGAGACTGACCTCAAACTTGTGATCCTCCTGCCTCAATGCCTGTGTTGCTGGGACTACAGGTGAGCACCACCATGCCAGACTGGTTACAAATTTTGAACCGTTTCAGAGAAGAGAGATAGGGATGGCACCACATGGGCAGTCCAGTCACTGCGTCAGTGTTAGGCCAGCTATTGCAGAAAAGGAATTAAATGGGAAAGAAAATTGGGAATGATGGAGCCTGGAGAACTGAGGAGAGAAAGGTTGTCCCCAAGGGCAGCCACTGCTCAGATCTGCTGATTGGTTCTCCCCTCAGTACTGGGAATCGAACCTAGAGCCTCATTTGTACTAGGCAAGTATTCTACCGCCGGGCTACATTCCCAGCCCGAGTGACAATAACCAAGAGATGGGTCAACCTGGCTGCCCACCATCAGGTGAATACATAAGGAGAATGTGGCATCCATACACAGCGGAATGTCATTTGCCATCAAGAATGAAATCCAGTCATTTGCTGTAAAATGAATGGAATTGGGGGATGTTATGTTACGTGAAATAAGCCAGGCGGGCAAGTAGCACATGTTCTTTCTCCTACGTGGAAGCTGAAAGTCAACCTGTGTGTCACATGGTGACTCCTAGGGATTCAGGGGGGCGGAGTAAAGGGAGTGTGGGTTCGGTTAGGGCTTGTGTGGAAATACCACACTGAACCCCACTTATATGCACAATTTATACATGATAACCAAAAATAAGTGTTTTTGCAGTGTGGAACTTGGAAGTTTGGGACATTATTTAGTTAATTCATGTAACCACAATGTTCAGTGAGATCTCCAGAGCCCTGAACTTCAGCATCATGAATATCAGGCCTGCAGCACTTGTGAATCTGTAGCACGCCACGGCAAAAGTGTGTGGTTTTCAGTACTTGCACTAAGCTGGCCCAATTTTAAGTAATTTTAGAAAACTACCACACATTATATTTTGAATTCTGGAGTCTGGTGCCAGAATTCAGACTAGGTTTGGTTTCTTAATGGTGATTGGACTAGATTTTAGTTCTTAGTAAAACTGATTTATTAAGAAAACTAAACAAAGGCAGTGTGATTATTTAATCTTCATCTCAATCAACACATGAAGGAGCCAGGGTAAGACTTCTAGTACTGTTCTACAGAAACCCTGCAAAGTAGAAGATGAATTCAATTCCTTTTTCGAAGAAGCCCAGGTGTACTTGTTTTGAAGTTTGTAAAAAAAAAACAAAAAACTTTAAACAGATTAAAGAAACAATAAAATAAAAAGATTAAAACTGTCTTGAAAAAAAAATAACCCTACATTTGTTTAAATACAATAACAAAAAAATTGAAAGATCAAAAGATCACCCAAAAAAAGGGAGAAAAAACAATAATTGATGTTGGCTTCTTTTAGGCAGAGAGAAGAGAAAACAGAAGGATGACTTTTACTTTACAGTGTTTATTTTTCTATACTCTTTAGATTGTTAAAATATTTGCACAAACTTCCCTTTTTAAAAATATTAATAGGTTATTTGGGCAGTGAGGTTGTAAGCCATTTTGTTTTCTTTCCTATAATTATTTTTCTACATTCTGAAAAATAATATAATGTTAGAAGTGTTGAATATAAAAGAATCCTGAAAAACTTTAACACAGGAACTAAGTCTAAGAACATCTTAGCCAAAACAGATGATTGTGATATATTCTTTTAAAATATTTATGTTAAGTAGAAATTTATGTAATATACTATACACAGGAAGACAACTATTAGTAGGATAATTAAGTGAAAAACCTCAAGGAATCATTTTTGATCAACAAAAAGTAAAATACAAAATGATTTTATACCAGATACTTTAATTGGAAAATGTTATTTCATTCAAGTAACAAGCTTAAAGTAGTTACCAAGTAAAAATGTTAACCCTCTACAACCTATATATTCATACACACAACCCTTATATAAGTATCACATACATTTTTATCTTGTTCCAGAGAAATTCATATCTTCTTTATTGCTACTCATGTGTAAATTATTTAGGGTTTTGATTTTTTTGTCATGAGGAAAAACTGTTTTCAGAATGCTACTGAGCAACCAAATCAATGTTGGACAATGAGTTGAAATTGGGATTTAATATTTAAATTATTTTTGCAAAAGCAAAAATAGCTGCATTATGACTCCGTTTAAGTGAGAGGCAAGCATGGGTGACAGCCTGTTAATAGGAATCACTTGTAATCTGATGAGGAGCATGATGACGCTGAGTGAGCTTTGAAAGCTGGCCTTTCCTGATAACAACCTGTGGACACAGACTCTTTGTCCTGGCACCTTTTCTGAAAAGGTCTGCGTGAGTGCACCAAAAAAGAATCACCAGGAGAAGAAAGAGTGAAAGCTGCCTTCTCAGCCTGCTAAGCAGAGGCAGCGCACGCAGTCCCCAGCCTCTGAATATCCAGTGAAGATGTCATGTCCTGCCGGGGCTATCTCTAGGACACAAGCAGGGGTCTTGCAGCAGCCCCAGGGACCAGTGGGGCAGACATGGGAGAGACCTAATTCATTTGGATGAGACGCACTCACTGCCCCCAGGAGGGTCACCACGAGGGAGCTGACCCTTACCATGGAGGCCGCCCCTTAGGCCATCCCCTTCTCTAGATGGGTTCACCAGCCCGCCTCTGCCCTGTCCCCCTGGGCCATTTTCCTGGTGACCTTCTGACTCCTGGCACGGAAGATGGTAGGTCTGCGTTTCCTCCCCTTGCTCTTCCTCATCTGAATCCAGCTCAGACTCATCGTTGTAGAAATGAAGGGTGGCTTGCACGGGGAAACTGGCCAGCACCTTCTCTCCGGAACTCTGCAGGTATTCTTGACGCTTTGAAATGGGTAAATAAAGTCTAATATTTAAGAAACAAATACATCATCAATCAACCCGAAAACAGGCCTACACTACCAAGACTCTTTTCCCCAGAAGCAGCTAACTCCCCCATCTTCCTGTCTGATTTGCCTTCCCTACATACAATGGATTGTAAGTTAGTAGAACATGAAACTATGGCCACCTAGATAGGGGACTTGGTAATAAACCCCACACTAGTTCAGAACTCTGAATGAGCAAATCAATTTTTAGACCTGAAAAGGTGCACTTCAACAAAGGGAATACGCTACTGAAAACACTGGATTCCAGAATTAATAGGCCCACTCTGATTAAATGGACAACTTGAGTCCTCTTGGATAATGGATGTCCCATTTAGGACCCAGGCCCCATTCCACCCCCATCTTTTGAGCATGGAAAATGGAACCCTCTGGGCTCTGGAGGAAACTTTACTCTGAAATTCTGATCCATGGAAGCAGCTAATTTTCCAAATGTTACTGTAAGAGAACCTGGGGGGGGGGGGTGGATCCCTGGCTTAGACAAAATAGAAAAGATGTGCTTAGGGGGGAAAAAAGAGAGGAAAAAAAAAGCTTGAATATATAAAAATTGATTCCAGGTATTGTGGGATTTGGGATTCAAGTTATACACATTTTAAATATCCCCCATAATCTCTTGTCCTTGTACTTCTCATTTATTAATTTTCATGCTTGGTTCCCTGCAAACTTCTCAGGAAGGGTCTTCACTGATTCCTGCCGATTTCAACATCCCCTTCTAGACAGAAGAGCAAAGGCATGGTGTGCCATATAACACAGGGCATGGTGCACACCTGTGATCCCAGCACCTGCAGAGGCTGAGACAGGAGCATTGCAAGTTCAAGGACAGCCTGGGCAACTTAGTGAAAGCCTGTCTCAAAAATTAAAAACAAAAAACATTCTGGCAAAGTAGCTCAGAGGTAAAGAGCCCCTGGGTTCTATCTCTAGTACTGCCAAAAATAAAAAAGAAAACAAACATGACAATTTTAACTTTTAAAATTTCCAAGAGACCAGTGGTTCTCGACCTCCAGGGCATGTCTGACAACATCTGGAGGCATTTTTGGTTATCATAATTGAAAAAAGAAAGCTACTTATATTTAATGGGCAGAGGCCATTAAAAGCCCTGGACAGCCCCAGAACATGGGATTATCCAGCCCAAAGTGTCCACAGTCCTGAGCTAAGAGACTGTGCAACAGAGAGGGTGCATATGGTCTGTACTTCTAGGACAGAATATAAGCAGAGTTTTTGAGGGCATATTAAAAATTAGGTGTTTATGCTGAAGTATTTGCAGGTGAATTTGAAGGATATCCAGGTTTGCTTTAAAATATATCAACAATAACATAAATAGTTTGGAGAGATGGTAATGTGATCAGGTTAGAAGAATATTGATAATAATTATGAAGGCTGGAGATGGGTGCATGGGTGTTCTGCCATTTCTGTGTGTGTTTTAAAAAAATGTTTTTTTTTTTTTTTTTTTTTTGTATTGGGGATTGAACCCCGAGGTGTCTTACCACTGAGCTACATCTCCAGCCCCTCTTTTTATTTTTGAGACTGAGTCTTCCTATAACACCCAGGTTAACCTGGAACTTGCTTCAGCCTCCTGAGTTGCTGGGATTACAGGTGTTCACTACTATGCCTGGCTGTTTGAAATTTTCTATAATAAAAGTCTAAAATAAAATGAAATAATTGTATATCCAGTTTGCAACATACAGTTATACTGAGGCAGCTCATGCATCACAACTCGCAGAGTTTTCAGCAAATCAAAAATCTGGGAGTCCCAGCAGCACCCATGATTGCAGGCCTGGGATATGGTAAAGTGATCCTTGCAGGGAACGCAGTAGGGTGTGGCTCTCAACCCCAGCTGCACACTAGGATCAGCTGGAGAGCCTATAAAAATGCAAATGCTGGGCCTCTCCCTAGCACAGGTGCATCAGCATGTGGGGAGCCATCCGAGCAACTGGATTTTCAAAAACTTCTCCAGGGATTCTATCAGGATTGAAAACCATGGATGTAAAGGACACTTAGAAACATTCCTTCTCACTGAGCGTGGTGGCACATGCCTGTAATCCCCGCGGCTCAGGAGGCTGAGGCAGGAGGATCCTGAGTTCAAAGACAGCCTCAGCAAAAGTGAGGCTCTAAGCAATTCAGTGAGACCCTGTCTCTAAATAAAATACAAAATAGGGCTGGGGATGTGGCTCTGAGTTCAATCCCTGGTACCTCCCCCTCAAAGGAAACATTTCCTCTTCTAAAACCACACTAACCAGTCTGATGGGCTCTCAGGTTCATCTCTAGAAAACAGTGTCTTTGGGTCATATTGAAGTTTTCCAGCTTTCCACGGTAACCGGGGCAAAAGCACCCAGAGGATGGCTGGAAGAATAGGGTCGGTCTACTCTGATGAAGGAAGTGAGAGATGGAGAGAGAAAGGCTGAGAGAGGAAGAGAGAGACAGATAGATAAAAATCCAGAACATGAGCCACTTGCCTAAAAATGAATGAAATGTAAGTGGGAAACAGCCAGGAGAGTCCTGGTCACCACCAGGACCAGGAACAGACAAACCAAGAGCTACTGGAGGAAAATGCTCTCACATGCATACCCAGTACCCAGTATTTGCCCCCATATGCAATGCACACATTTTGAAGCTCTACTTTGCACTAGACATATTAGCTTATATACCAGGAGAGAAATAAAATGTATTTCAGCATCTATGCAAATAACTACCTATGCATATATAATTCATATATAATTAAATTTAACACAAAGCATAATATGTGACAGGAAGCATAAAGAACAGAGAGAGGCCAATTCCGCCTTGCAAATGAAGCAATAAGTCAATGAATGAATATATGAATAGATTCCAGAAATCTAACAAAATATCCTTGAAATTCCTTGAATAAGAAAACTAAATAATATTGGAGAATATATTGAATTCCTTTCTACTTCTTTGGAATGTACACAAAGATACTAATGTGTATTAATGCTTATGTTAAAAGAAAATGATACATTTCTTACTGTGAAGTCATATATTACCTGACAGGATGCTGAAACCCAAAGGCCCCCTTCGATCTCCAAGTCTGTTGTTTCTCCCCAGGCTCACACTGTAAAGACAGACACATACATACACAGAAACAATTAAGGAGCCATTGAAGTTTTTAAAGAAAAAATAGAGGTAGTCTGCTGTCAGTACCAATTTCAAACATCTTAGCAATATCAGATAGTTCCTTCTACCACAATGTCCCAGGCATTGTAAGGGCTTCTAACCATGGAGAATACAGACTCAGGGTCTTAGCACAGATGTTTTGCATTCTAATGGAGAGAAATGCATGTGTATACAAATAATTATGGTATAGCGCAAACCACTGCAACACATTCCTGATTCAACACAGGGAAAGGGACCAGAATAGGGCTCTGGGGCCTAGCAGGGATATCCTTGGCACATGGGTGAGAATTCTGAGACACTCCTGGCAGAGTGGAGCATCATAGTCAGAGAGACAGGAAGATAGAGGACTCAGATGGGAGAGCCCTGTGTGAAATGAATGAGACATTTGTGATTGTCACACGGCTCTGATGCGAGGCTGAGTTCTGATCCTAGACTCTTTTAAAACCCACTGTTAACTTTGGGTTTGGTTCTGCAGACTGATTTTTGAGCTGAGGAGCTCAACAATCAAATTTGTATTTTAAGGATAATAATGACTGCTGAGAGCTGTGCATGGGCTGGTTTGAAGTAAGGGCGTGGAGGCACCAGTCTGGGTAGGAGATGGTAAAGATTTGAACAAAAGTTAACAACCAGGGGGAGGGAGGGAAAGGCGATTGGAGTATACCACAGGTCCTCGGCACCATGCAAAGGGCCTGTGATCACCTGCATGTCAGAAACTGCGGAGAGGGAAGCTCATCTGAGACCAGGCAACTAAGGACAATGTTAATGAGAACAAGAGACATGCAGAGAGCCAGGCAAGTCCATGCTGACTGCTGACCAGGAAGTGAGGTGATGGTCCACTCTGCCCGTCCAGGGTGGCACCCGTTCTAACCAAACTCCTGATGGTGCTGGACCCAAGTGGATTTGCCTTGACACATAGCCAGGTTATCCAAAGGTCTAAAGGGCCAGGAGTCACCATGTGATCTCAGGTCTCTGAAAGCTTAGTCACTGTGAAAAGAGGGATGTGAGGCATTCTGGAATGGACCAGTCTGGGATGATTTGAAAATGGGCTGAAGAGTGGTAGATCAGAAACCCCAAGTTTTGGGACTCCAAAGATATCAGTGATAATCGGATTAGGAATGGGACAAAACTGCTCTGGCATTGCAAGGAAGGACTTTGAGGATTTTGAAACTGTCAGTTTTCATGCCATTCCTTCCTGTGGAACCTTGGGATGTGTGTGTGTGTGTGTGTGTGTGTGTGTGTGTGTGTACACATCTGTGAGGAAACTGGCCTGCTGGATACCTCTGCAGACATCACAGCTTATCCAGTCCTATTTTCATAATAAACTGTGATTAGCTGGGGGAAGAAAAGTAAAGCTTTGTGGAATAAAATCTTATGCATGCTTTGGAGGCTACAGGAAATTACTTCTGTGTTAAGCTGTGTGGTGATTATAAATTATACCTAATCAACCAGGCACACCCTTCCACTGCAAGCAATCCTGTCCTGCTGAGCAGAACTCCATGCCCTGGGACGAGACAGGGTACACACAACAATGCAACTTGGATGCACAGTGAAAAGCATTCCAGAGAAAGGATAGCTTCCTTAAAAAATCTGATTCTGACTAGACTCTGAAATGTACAATGTACCTACATAAAATTTAAGAACTGTGCCCCACAAACATACACAGCTTTTAAAATACTAGTGTTGGGGCTGGGGATGGGGCTCAAGTGGTAGCGCACTCGCCTGGCATGCGTGCTGCCCGGGTTCGATCCTCAGCACCACATACAAACAAAGATGTTGTGTCCGCCAAAAACTAAAAAATAAATGTTAAAATTCTCTCTCTGTGTCTCTCTCTCTCTCTCTCCTCTCTCGCTATCTCTTTAAAAAAAAAAAAAGCATAAAAAATATCAAAAAAATAAATAAATAAAATACTAGTGTTAAAATATTCTGATTATTTTCCAAAAGATTTTATTCAAGATCCTTTCTCACTGAGGGAAGAGACTCAATATTCACAGTTTGATAATTAATGGGAACAGAAATGTACACAAGTTAAGCAGTGTGTTTAAGGTATGGGTGTTTTCTGAAAATCCAGACAGTGGATTCCAGCAGAGACTTTTGGATAGTGACTTGTGCCTCTGACCAGCTAAAGCTAAGTGTGGGGAGCCTGGAAGATAGGACCCTTTCAAGGAACCACCTCTGACATCTCCCAGAAATCACCTCCTGGGCAGTGTGGGCAAGTCCAGGAAGGAAAAGCAATAGAGGTCAAGAAGGGACTAGCTGGGGGATGCGGGTGCAGGCCAGTGTAAAGCACCTGCTTAGCATATGGAAGGCCCCGGATTCCATCCCAGCACCAAAAACATTTTTAAACATTTAGACTGTCTTTCACTGTCTACTTGGTCCGGGAGGTAGGAGCCCTACCGGCACCACGTGAGGGCGACTCCACTGCGGAAGGCACAAGTCCTTGAGGCCTTCCCTCAAATCCAGATTTTATTCTAATTTGGATCTCCGTGCATGCGGGCAGCTCTGCCTTAGGTCACCGGGCCTCACCCCAGGCTCCTGACCCCTTCCACTCCCAGAAATACTAAACAGGGCCCCAGAGCCTGCGTGGTTGGGAGAGGAGCACTGACAAGAACTGTTCCCCTAACGCTCCCCGCTGGGCCTAGGTCTCAGTCGGTCCTGATGCTCTGTCAGTCCTTTCTGCTCCTCAATTGAGATCTGCAAAGGGCTGGGCGAGGGTGGTGGGGGTGGAGGTGGGGTGGGGGAACAAGCTGGCAAAGTCTACAGTCCAAGGAACTTCTTCCACCTCCATCCAGATCCAAGGACCAACTGCTTCATCCAGTGTGACAGTCAACTAGAGTTGCTGCGGCTGAACATTTCTCTGCAAGGTAGTCTTTACTTTCGTCACAAAGGAGCGGGGGACCTACTGCCATTAGGCAATGTGCTACAGTATTTTTAAAAAATTAATTTTAATTTTTTTGGTACGGGAGATTGAACCCAGTTGCGTTTTACTACTGATCTATGTTTCCAGTCTTTTTTTTTTTTTTTTTTTAAGACAGAGTATCGCAAAATTACTGAGGCTGGCCTTGAACTTGCAATCCTCCTGCCTCAGCCTCCTGAGTTGGGAGGATTGCTGGGATTATAGGCGTGAGCCACTACATCCTGTGTGCTATTATATTTTTATTTTATTCTTGCAAACAACAAATATGGTACACATATATTTCATTTAAAAGAAAATTGAATGTAATTATAAACATATTTTCTCTTCTTTAAAATACTGCTTTAAAAAACTTGTTTGAAGGCAAAAGAAGGAACTATTTGCCACTATTAGATATTGCATTTAAGAATAATTTAGTGATCCTCAGCATCACATAAAAATAAATAAATAAAAATAGAGGTATTGTGTCCATCTACAACTAAAAATAATATTTTTTTTTTTAAAAAAAGAGAATGATTTAGGCTAGCTGGGTGTAGTGGTTCCCACCTGTAATCCCAGCAAGTCAGGAGGCTGGGGCAGGCAGATAATGAGTTCAAAGTTAGTCTCAGCAACTTAGTGAGGCCCTGTCTCAAAATAAAAATAAAATAAAATAAATGGCTGGAAGATGTGGCTCGGTGGTTAATTCTCAGTATTTAAAAAATAGGCTTAAAAATTATACCACTTATTAATTTGTTATAGATTTTATTTGCTTGATTCTTTAATTAATAATAACTGAATTAAAACTTCTAGTATTCAGATTAGTTAAATATTAAAATATGGTGAAGGTCTATTTTCTCACACCCAAGTTTTCTTACCAGACTACAAATAACTAAATATTAAGCCATATGCCACATATGTTATGTAAATCAAATACACAGTTCTTCCTAGCCAGATTAACTCTTACAGTGTTTTAAAAGCCATCCAATTAGGGCCCAGTGTGTGGCCTAGAGAGTGCTCGCCTAGCAAGCACAAGCACAAGGCCCTGGGTTGAATCCCCAGCACCAAAAATAAATAAATAAATAAATAAATAAGCAAGCCAGCCATCAAGTTACATTTTAAAATATAGCAAATGAAAGGAAGTCATTACTTCAATAAGAATAAAAGCAATTTAGTTACCAGGCTAACAAAAAAAAAAAAAAAAGTAGTGGCAATTAATCTTTGTTCACAAAGCCCCTCTGTTGAGTGTATTTGCTCTGACAACATGAGTTATCCCAGGAGTGCTTGTAGACTGGGTGGAAAGTACTTCAGAAAGGGCCAGACGGCGGGTGGGGGCTTTTAGCTGCACCTTCTGGACACTCCATTTGAAGCTCTGTCCTTATTTGCTCTGTGGCAAAAAATGCATTAATGGTATGACACTCAATTTTTCTCTATGGTGGCAGCCTTCTCCACCCCACTTCCTACCTCCAGATTTGCGGAAACCCAAACATGGAAGAAATACCTTTTAATTCCCAAGAAACTGATGTGCCATAAGGGCTTTGCTTTTCAAGAAAGGATAAGCAACCAGGAGCCCGATCTGTAGGTAACTCAGGTCTGGTTAACACCTGACTCACACAGACTCCAATTCCCAGCCCTTGAGGCATCTCTAGGTTAGATGACCAAGGGCGGGGCAGAGGAGGAGACGGTTCAAGGTCCTTTCATTTTAGAGAAGGTGCCACTTTCTGCCTGGACTGATTACTTAGAACATCCACACTTAACCTTACCAGGCTTCCAGTTCTGGTCAGTTCTGCATCTGCTGGAGTCAGCGTCCAGGGTCTCCATGGTGTTGGGCTAGAACTGGAAAGCAAGTACAAGGAGAGAATGAATCCCAGGCTCCCCGGCCCCCAGTGCTGGGGATTCGGCTGTCCTTTAAATACCATGAGAGCTATTATCTAGTGTCTGGGTCAGCCTAGGGTTGGATCAGTGCTGCTTATGTGTTTCTCTCCTGTGTATTTCTCAGTTTTCTGCCTTCAATTAGACTCTGGGAAAGTAAAGGAAACACATGAGTTGAAGGATTTCTGACCCAGTTAATCCTGGCTGGATTCTTTAGCTCAGGATTTTCCCACTATAGCTGGCTACTTTGTCACTAGTTTCAACTGCACCTCCTCATTGAAGGATCTTGATTCTCAGAGTTGGTTCTACAGAGTTCTAGAATGACACAAAGGAGATCTGTTTCTCCACTCAGGCTGCCTAGCCTACCCAACCCCATTCCTACTTCCCCAGCTGATCTGATTTCCTTTAATTTTATTACTTTTAAAAGGGCTGGTGCCCAAGGATGGCCAACACTAAGCCCTGGGCACAGGGAAAACAAAGACTATCACCTTGTGACAGCCAAAGTGCAGGGGATCCCTTTGCAAAGTTCGTTTAGGGGCCCAAGACGTCAGTATTTCCCAGCTCAAACGTAGGTCCATTTCCTGGCCAGGTACCTTCTGGGCCTCTGTACTTCAGAATTGTGCCTTGGGACCCACAGAGCGTTGTAGCCCTCTAGGTCTCCGGCTAAAGAACTTGCTCAGCGTCACCGTCGAGCTTGGGGACTCCGCCCGGGCAGGGGGTTGGGGGGCTTAGCGACGCCAGAGCATTCAGCTTGCTGCTCTCGGAGTTTAAATGAGGCGCGTGCCTCTCCACGCGTCCACCCGGGTCGCGGGACACTCTCACCTCTCGGGCCCGTGTGGCGACGACGGCCTCCGGGAAACGTTCCCAGGACAGTGACAGACGCGCCCCGGCCCCTCCCAGGCTCCGGCAGCCGGCTCGGGTCTCATGGTGCAGGCGGAGCTCGCGCCCTCCAGCGGCGCCCGCGACAGGACCGCGTCGATCCGCCTGGAGGAGCGCACTCACCTACTCGCGCCCTTCGCGCCAGGTTTAAAAACCGGGGCGGGGCGGGGACAGGACAAGGGAAATCTCGGAGAGGGGAGAAAGGAGACGGCAGAAGTCCCGCGAAGCGACAGAGGAAGCAAGGACGGGGTGGGGACAAGAAAAGCTCAAGGGAGGGCGCCTAGTGGTCAAGCGGTGGCGGCAGGGTGTGGGTCAAGCAGGGGATTCGGGAAGCCCAGGGCAAAGGTGGGGAGGGGACAAAGGAAAACCGGGGAGGGGGCTCTAGGGGCGGGGCGGGGTCAAGGAAGCTCAGGGAGGGGACCGTGCGGCGGGAAGTGACACGGGAAGCCGGGAGAGGGAGGGCAAGGCTAACGTTTCCACCGGGCGCGCCCCCTCCGGGACTGGGGGTGACAGGCGCTTGTCGGGCTGGGGGTCCCCGCCAGGTGCGAGAAGAGAAGGGTCCCTGCTTCGCCTTTCAGGGGTCCCCAGAGGCCCTCGGGTTCTGACCCGCGAGCATCTAGCCCCTAGATTTCCGGAGAATCTCAGTTCCACCATTTGAAGGCGGCGGCGGGGTTGGGGGACAGCTATAGAACCCTGGGGACCCGCGTGAACCTGCCCTGTCCTCAGTGCTGAACCGTGGGTGTCTAGGACGCCTAGACGTGGGTGCTCGAACCTGCGGCCAAGGGAGGGCGCGCTACGCTCCCAGGTGACCGAGAGCCGCAGAGGAGACCCAGCAAGATGAGGATGTCCCATCAGAGCAGCCTTCCTAACGTTGGGAGCCTTGGAAAATAAAGTGGCTTTCCTATGGGACTTGTTGGGGAGGTCGGTGGGATTTTTCTCCGGTGAGCCCCGGGCTGGGCCCAGAGGTACCTCCGCGTGCGGACACAGCGCCAGCTCGGGACCCCGGGGAGCGAACCTGGGGACATTCCCAGGGGCGCGCGCGCGCCGCAGCAACAACCACCGCGGCCCGCGCAGGATGAAGGTTGGAGGACCGCTCCTTCCTAAGTACCTTGCCACTCCACACTGTGGGCGCGGGAGAGCGCGAGCGCGGGACTTCCGAGCTCCTTGCTGCACCCGGAACCGCTCTGCAGTGCGCCGGTGAGGCTGCGTGGGAGAACTGGAACCTAGTTGGCATAATTTAAATTTATGGATTAAAAAAGTCTCCAAAAGGGATTAAAATGTTTCCACAGTTTTTCTTTAAGATTTCGACAATGATGATCCTAAAGGCCAACAGTAATGGGGGGGGGGGGTGTTGACGAGTAACTTCATACAAATGATTAAAAAGACCTCGATCATAAAGGAGAGGGGTGGAAGAAGGCAAAGCACCTTAAGCCACATTGCACTGAAGGGGTTGTTTTAACGGGACAGCTAGGTCTTGCAGGCAGCTGGGGACAGGGTAAACAGCTTTCTGAGAAAGTTTGATAACATATTTTGTGTGTCTTACAAATGTCCATCTGTGTCCGATGTCAATACTAAAATTGTATTTTGAAATAGGAATGAGATGGATCTATCACAATGAAAAAATAGGGAGAATAGACAAATTTTCTTAGAAGAGTTCCAAATAATTTCTGTAGATAATCTGTTCTCAAGGATGTAGAATGTAACTACAGAAGTCATAATTAAAATCTCAAATTATGTTTTAATGAAAAAAATAAATTTATTGTAAGATAAAATGAGTTTTTTAGAAAGTTTTTCTGCAGATAGAGGAATTAAAATACAATAAAAGGCAGCTGGGGGGCGGGTAGTTGGGTGGTAGAGTGCTTGCCCTGGGTTGCATTTCTAGCACCACAAAGCAAACAAGAAATGAATAAAATACAGTAATAGAAAGAAAAGGTTGTTGAGATGGTTGACTTTGTATCACCAAATAGAATTACTGTTTTGAATCCATGGCACATCTTTAGAATAGAGGAGTGATTTGCGGGAAGGGGTAGACATGTTAGGAAACTTCATCAGGCCCCTGATTTATAAGCTGGGAAACTGGCAGAACTTGCAGTGAATCTCTGCCTGGGCAGTGATGAGGAAATAATTAAATGGAGATTCTATCTCTTGCTGAACTGTCTTTAATTGAAAATCCTTTTTCATATGCTGACTTTCAGTGGCAGTTTAGAAACAAAGAATAGAGAGTTAACCCTGAGGGTTTCCGGTGGCCTAAGAGGAGGATACCAAAAGTCAAAACATCTAAGAGGGCAGAATATTTTTACATAAACAGTGTTGAAGACAAGCAGGGAAATGAGAATTTCCTTTCCTTCTGTTTAGTGAGGCTGTATTTCCTGTTATCCACTCCAAGGAGTGTTGTGCGGCTCTGGAAGGGGGTTTGGAAGCTACAAGATGTTATTATTGCTCTTGATGTTGTTACTTTCTAAAAGATTTTGTGGTGCTGGGGACTTAAACCAGGGCCTAATGTGTGTGAGGCAAATATTCTACCATTGAACTATATCACTGGCCCAAGATTCTTTTTTTTTTTTTATTTTATTTTTTAAAGAGAGAGAGAGAAGGGTTGGGGATATAGCTCAGTTGATAGAGTGCTTGCCTTGCATGCACAAGACCCTGGGTTTGATCCCCAGCACCAAAATAAATAAATAAATAAATAGAGAGACAATTTCAATATTTATTTTTCAGTGGACACAACATCTTTGTTTGTATGTGGTGCTGAGGATTGAACCTGGGCCGCACGCATGCCAGGCGCGCGCTACCGCGTGAGCTACATCCCCAGCCCTATCACTGGCCCAAGATTCTTTAAGAATAAAAAAAAAAAAATGTATGTTTGTTCCATGGGAAAAAGAGGTACATTTGTTTTGGTGTTTAAATTTTTATTTACATATTTTCATTTCTGAAAATTGTGAAAAAATATAGTTTAAAATTTACTATCCTAACCATTATGAGTGTATAGTTCAGTGGCACTGGACACATTCACATTGTACAACCAACAGTAACCTCCATCCCTAGCATGCTTCATCTAAAACCCAAACTCCTAAACAACACCTTGGCATCTCCCCTTCCCACCAAGCCCCAGCAGCCACCTTTCTTTCTGTGTCTCTGCTTTAGTTGACTCTAGATCTAAGTGGATGGCTCATGTAGGTGGAATCACATGGTGTTTTTCTTTTTGTGGCTTATTTCACGTAGCATGCTGTCCTTGAAATCCATCCACACTCAACATGTTAGAATTCTCTTCCTTTTTAAGGCTGAGTACTATGCGATTGTAGGTACATCATGAAATCTACATTTTGTTTATCCATTCTGTTCTCTGTAGATGGACACTTGGATGACTTCGCCTTTTGGAGACTGAGTAATCCTGCTATAGGTACACAAAAGGTGGTACCTGTCCTCATCCATCATAAAAGTCCTTCAAAAAGACACCTAACAAGAGAAAAGCATAGCAGATTTATTTAATCAGAGTTTTATATGACATAGGAGGCTTCCGAAACAATGACCTGAGGAACAAGGAGATGGGCCAGTTTTTATGCTTAGGCTGGATGAAGTGTGGACAGCTTCATAGAAGGGCAACTGGTCTAGACTGACAGGGGGAACTCAGCAAGGCCTGTCTGTTCAGATTCTTTGTGACTGCTCTGAGCGGCATTCCTTCCTCCCACGTATGGGGCAGTGTCCCTCTGGAAGGAGGGTCTTGGGACCTACCATCAGACAAGGTAGGCAGAGAATGTCTTTATGGCCAGCTCTTTGAGGAATGGAGGGGAGCAGGAGGAAGGAGGGCAGAAGGTCAGAGAAACACTTTGCCCCCCAGGCTGCCTCTGGACCTCTCTGTCTCCTTTAGGTCAAAGTACTCAGTGTGCCAAAGTGCCATGGTTGGGGGTACCATTGACTGAGCCCCAGCACTGCTATGAACAGTATTTATACAATTACCTGCTTTCAGTTCTTGTGAGTATATACTCAGAAGTAGTATTGTTGAATGAAATATATTTGGTTTTAAATTTTTATGTTAAGGCTTTTGAAAAAAAAATTAGCATGAAATTCGTATTCACGTTGCAAAGGGAAATTGTGAAGGTTTCTATTCCATCTTTTCTCTATGAGTGCAGATGTCCTAGCTTAACCGGATGACTGGAAGCTGGAACCATCTTCAGATACTCTGAGTTAAAGCCAGGACCATAGCCCTGGCTGCCAGACCGTCCTCATGTCCCCTCCACCCTGTCCTTTACCTCTCCAATCTCACCTCGAATTCTGCCTGCCTCCCCTTGAGTCCCTGGGCCAGGAGCATCTAGCACACTTGCGTGGGGCCTCTGCCTGAAGCCTTCCAGACACTCCAGTCTTATCTCCTCATCTCCTTTGGTCTTTACTCAAATGCCCTCTGGGGATGACACCTTCCATGTTCCATGACCGTGTTAAAGCATCTTCACCTCTACACACATGTGCCGGTGCGCGCGCATGCGCGTGCACACACACACACACACACACACACATACACATACACACACACCCCTCAGCATGCCTTGCCCTCCTTTCCTGCTTTTTTTCTTCATCTTATTTATTTTTGGTACCAGGAATTGGACTCAGTTTAACCATTGAGCCACAGCCACAGCTCTTTTTTATATTTTGAGAGAGGGTCTTGCTAAGTTGCTTAGGGCTTTGCTAAGTGTTTGAGGCTGGCTTTGAATTCAAGAGCCTCCTGCCTCAGCTTCCTGAGCCGCTGGGTTTACAGGCGCGCGCCATTGCGCCTCCCTCTTCATCCCATTTAACAAACTGTATTTTCCACATCTGAACCTATCACATTTAACGTACTCTTTCTTACTGGATCACTTATATTTCATACCTTTATTTTTATTTATTTATTTATATGTTTTAAGTGGTGCTCAGGATTGAACCAGTGCCTAGCACATGCTAGGTGAATGCTCTACCGCTGAGACACAACCCCAGCTCATTTCATTTATTTTCTGTCTCTCCCAGTAAGATGTCAACTCCACAAGGACAGAGCTTTGTCTGCTTCCTTTGTGGCTAT